ACAGCAACTCTGGAGAGCAGTGGGTGTATTTTACAGTCTGAATGCACAGGGAAGGGAAGGGATAAAGGAAAAAAAAACCCAACAAAAACAACAAAAAGAGAGAATCTGCCTTATGTGACCAGATATGCCAGATTGCTGGCTAATGGCTAGCAACATGTGGCTTCTCTGAGTAATATCATTGCCCTCTTCATGCTTTGCCAGCATATGCTACTGGTTGCAAAGAGAGATAAAAATACACGGAGTGAATATGCAATTACCAAAACCATGATATTTTATGACAAATGCCATTCCTCTAACACTGCTATTACAGTGTGCCTGATTTCCAAAGCTGAATTAATTTGAGCAAGTGTACATTGGAGATTGATGCTATTAGCATGATTTTTAAAGCACCCTTTAATAATCATAATCTGCATGTTTGAAACATGTTGTCATTACCAGTGTTGACAGATACGAGCATAAGGCACACACCGTGGAGACTAAAACGGGGCCATTCTCATTTCAAATAAGAGCATACATATTCCTACGTCTCTCAAAAAAATCTATTACTGTGCAAAGGGAGTAGCACATTTTTCAATGGGGGTGGCAATAAGCTCTAGCAGCGTAAGACACCACACTTGGGCCAGCCTGTGCTACCTTTATGCACTGGGGTAGGACCTCCCACACACGGAGAGCGCATGAGAAATGAATCGGGCTTTCAAGGGATGCTGTTGAGCAGCTGTCCCGAAATGAAGAGAGACCAAACCTGCTGCCTCCCATAACTTTCTGGAAGAATCTCTTCAACAGTTATAAATGACATACCTTTATGGAGTGACTTTTTTTTTTTTTTCTTCTCCCCCAATTAGTCTGAAAATGCAAAACACTGCTAGGGAAATAATTACAGGAAACTAGCTCTCTCCTCTCCTCTGTATGAGCAATGCTTACTCATGTAAATTACTTGCATGAGTAAGGATTATTTGCAAGGCGAAAAGCATTGCATCAGATACCCAGTTTGGGAGAAGAGATGAAATCAACATGAGTTCGTAGTAAACTTAGCTGTTGATGAATGAACCAAAGGCAGATCCCTACTGACAGTCCAGCCTCAGCGGAAGCAGCATTCACGACAACTGGGGGCAATGCAGGGAACGTCATACCATCCAAAATGAATTAGTTGCTTGTTTGGGGGGTTTTAGAAATTGTACACATCACATCAAATACCATCCCTAGATTTAATGAGCATGAGCTCTGATATATATGTTTGAGCCCAGCCTAATTAATGCCAACACCTTTAAAAACATGAAAATACAAGGCACTAACAAGCATTTTGCTCTAGAATTGCTTCTGCAAAGGTCAGTCATTCCATAGCCTCATGCTACCCCTTGGAGCAGAGAGGAATAAATGAGCTGGAGGAGGGTTCAGCCAGGACCCCATGGGCTGCAGGGCCTGGGGCTGAGCCCACCTCATGACCCTCAAGTGCCACAAGTCCAGGGTGCTGTGTGAGGGGACTGGGCAAGAGCTTCCTGCCAGCGGACAGGCAGCACCTACTTCTCTCATAGGTGGGCACTAGAAAAGCTGGGGGTCTGCTTTCCCCACAAACCCTGGAAACTGTTTCAGGAGCGACAGTATGTTCTCACAGCTGCTCCCTCCTGACCTTCACAGCAATCCCAGCATACTCCTCCAAGCCCTGCACCAGGTGCCTGCTGTCACAGAGGTCTTCCCATCCCATGAGAGAGGGGACACGAAGGACCACGCTGGCCCAGGAGCGGAGGAGAATACCAGGGCAAGGTAGCATCTTCCTCCAGCAAAACAGACACTTTCTCCGTTTCAACGGTGGCCCTCCCAGGAACCTAGGACAGCCACTTCTTCCCTGCTGGAGGGAAGAGGGAGAGGGCTGCTCCTGCCCTCTGACCGGTGCTGCACCTGCTGCGCTGTTTGGGCTTGACAGCCAGGTCAGAAGCAGCACACTCAGGCCCCTGTGTTACAAAAGCAACAACAAAGTTTTCACTGAAGAGCAAAAAACTCTTCTGTCTCATCTAACAGTGTCCCCTACTGCACCACTGCTCTCACAAAAATGTCTCCACTGCTCCTGTGCAGCAAGACTCCTGGTCTCATCATGATGCCAGAGCTGATCCCAGCCCATTGCTCTGGAATGTGATGAGCACCAATTGGGTCCAGGAACACCTGTACCGACAATGTGTGACCAGCTCCATCCCAAGTTTGCCATCCACTGAGGCACCCCAGGAAGCAATCTCCTGGGGCCAAAGGAGAGCTTCTCTGCCATGCTTACTGGGATGCTGAGACTGAGACGCAAGGAGGAGCGCCTTAGCAGGAGCACCCCTGGGCTTAAACCCTTCACAGGGTCTGAGCCACAGCATATGAAAACATCCGGTTTTAGCAGCAGTTGGGGTTATATTTAAATATGGATGATGAATTCAGGTAGCTATAAAAAGACTTATATTTACACTCATCACTGATTAGCTCAAACATTTGGCAATCAGATAAAATACGCCATCAGAAATTTCTGAGTAACAGAAGCATTACGTATCTCATCGCTTCTCCTTGCTCCTCACAGCCACTAGCTGAATATTGTCATAGTGTCAATGCTGTTATTACAGAAAACAGGCAGCAAGCTGCTTCTATTAATCATGCTGCTAGTGCAGGTAGCTGCTAGCGACTATGCCTAAATCTCCAGTGGGCTCGATCACAAGCCCGTGATTCAACCACTCGCTCCCCTCACTAATAATTTTATTGACAGTGAGCACCTCTGTCACCCTTTGCCTTGGACACCACAGATCCGAAATACATGTTTAAGCACTGGCTCACTCCATCCCCGCTCCCTGAATGCAAGACAAGGAGTTCTACCCTCTGAGCAGTCCCACACCACAAATAAGGTCTACCCTGACGGCTATAAGCTGCCTCTGACTCAAAAGCTGCATCTCCTCCCGCAGAAGGAGACCTTGCGACCCCAGAGGCGACCCTGCCGCAGCTTTGGGGACCGAAATGGATGTCATTTACGTAAGGAACCGTGCCCACAGTGTGGTGAGGTGAACTGGGTGCCCTGTGCGATGATGATACCCCCACCCAGACAGCGCTTTGCAAAGCGCCAGACAGCACCCAGCCTTTTGTCTCTCGGCTGCCTGCCTGCGAGTCCCTGAGTGCAACTCAGATCGTTCCAAACTATTAAAAATCAATAATAAAAAAATCATTCCGATGTCTATAAACAAGTTAATGGAGTAAGTGAAAACAAAATACATTTCTTAATGGGAGTGTTATGTTGCCCTCTCTAGGCCCTGGCTCTCAGTGCCGGTTTCTGTAGGCTCCCTGCCAGAGAAGTATCACTCAGAGCTGTTGCTGTTGCTGCTGCTGCTGCTGCTACTCTGCTAATGAATGACTAACTTAGGCCAGAGGGGAAATGACATCACCGGGGTGTAAAACACAACTGCATTAGGAAACTTTTTACCTGCTTTACATTTGTCATAATTATTCTGCACAATACGACTGCATTTGCATAATTTCAAGGCGTGCCATTATCTTAATTGAAAATTGTTTTCATATGGTTGAACAATGCAGAATGACATCAGTTAAAGCCCCAATGAAATGCACAAATATAATCACATGGCTAATTACTAGCGGTGTTTGCATGTAAAAATAAATAAAATCGTGCACATTATTAGGAAGGTACATGCAGCTGAGAACTCTCGTACCGGAGCAGCGTTTTACTCGTAATGGTAGGATTAATTTTCTCTGATGTTCCTACCACAGTAACATGAGCTGATCATTAAGGCGTATTAAAATGATTTGTGTCCCTTTCCCCACCCCCCTCCCTTCCAAATATCTTTCATTTTACACACACACACACACACACATACGAGACACACAGAGGCACAGTTTTAAATAGTCACCACGGGCAATTTCAGAGCATCCATTGCTCACTGTCATCTCCCTGATTCTTAGGAAAAGGGTGCCTTATCTCAGTGGCACGCACAGAAAATTAAAGTGAAGAGGTTGCAGCGAGCGAAGGTGGCTCTGAAACGCTTTTCGACTGCATACGCATGTGTATGGGTACACAGCTACGTCGGCACCTATAGCCACGCGTGACTCCAAAACAGCCCTTGTGGACAACAGCCCCTCGTTGGACCTACACCCCACCCCCCTCACCTCTCCAACGTAAGTGCCTCCAAAACATCTCGTGTTCCCCCCCCGTCTGGTTTCCAGCCCCTCCCGGAGATCCTCTCCCTCTATCACCGCAGCCCTTTCAGGGTACCCCAGTCTCCCCCCTCCCCAGACCACGGCCCGTGCTGGAGCAATAAATCTGAAAAGCAAATAACGGGAGGGAGCGGGAACGGGGCGGGGGGAGCGGCCCTGGGCGGGGATGGGAGGCGCAACCTGCGCGGATCCGCGGCCCCATCCCGGGCGGCGCGGGCGCCGGCGGTGGGTGCCGGCGCTCAGCGTGTTTGAGCCGGCCGCACGGCGGCTCCGAAATACGCCCAGACATATCTGCAAGTTATTTGAATGTATTATTCCCGTACCTGTCATTTATCACTTTATTCAACACGTCCCTGCCAGCTCAATAGCTTTTGATCTCCCTCAGCCTCCATTTCGTAATTTCCGCCCTCTTAAACATATCTAATACTAAAAAAAAAAAAAAAAGCCCCGAACAATATCAAAATCCCCCCAACCATTTCGGTTTGTTTTTTTTTTCTTTTTTTTTTCTTTTTTTTTTTCTTTTCTGTGTGTTCTAGGGTTTTTTTGTTAACGAAGCCGGACACGGTCAGGTCGAGCTCCGTTCGCACTCCGCTGTCCTCCGGGCCGGGGGCGCCCCAGACCCCGTCTCCCCCCCCCCCCCCCCCCCCGCCCGTACAAGTTCCCGGTGCGCCCCGACGGCGCGGCCCCTCCGCGCTGCCCCGCCACGCAGAGCGGGTGAGGGGACGCGGGTGGGAGCAGCGGGGGGGACCCGAGCCTGGGCATGCAGGTGGGGACGGTCACGGGAGAGGGAGGGGGGAAGCCGGCGCTGCGTTTACCACCTCGCCATGGTCACTGGTCCTGCCCTGGGGGGTGTCCTCGGGGAGAAAATAAAGTTTGGCGCTGGAGAGAAGTTGCCGGCTGGTGCGCTCCTCCCAGAGCAGCTGCAGCTCCGCGATGCAGGCGGGCTCCTCCGCGCGGCACCGCACGAAGAAGAAGTCACCGAGGGAGAGGACCCGCGCCCGGCCGCCGCCGCGCCGCTGGAAGCGGAACGCCCTGTAGAAGACGTAGGGGCCGTGCGAGCCGCACGGGGCGCCGACCCACTGCGGGGAACAACAACACGGCAGCGGCATCAGCGCCGGCTCCGCGCCGCGCCGCGCAGCGCCGCGCAGGAGGAGGGAGGGCGGGCGGGCGGGCGGAGGGAGGGAGGCGGGCGCGCGGGAGGGCGGTGGGGAAGGGGAGGGGGCGCGCAGCGGCGCGGAGGCTCCGCGCGGCGGGCGCGGGGCGGGGCGCGGGGCGGCGCGGTACCTGCAGTGCGCTGCGCTCCATCGCGGCTCCGGCGTGATTGAACTCAACATTCTCCCAAACTTGTTGGCGTGAATGGAGCCCGGCAGGTCCTGGCAGGGCAAAGCTGGCCCCGCCGCCCACCGCCCCCCGCCGCCGCCGCCACCGCGCCGCCCCGCCGCCACCGCCGCCCCACGCCCGGCGGCGCACGGCGACGCCCCCCCCCGCCGCCCGCCCCTCGCCCCGCCGCCCCGCCGCCGCCCCGCCGCTCCCCGCCGCCGCCGCCTCCGGACGCCGGCCGGACCCCCGGCGCCCGCCAGGGCCCGGCAAAAATGCCACGGGGCGGCGGAGGGCCCCGGGGGGGCGGCGCGGGGCCGGCGGGGCGGCGGCGGGGGTCCTAGCGGCTCCCGGCGATTTTTGGGGTCCCGAAAGGGCGGGCGGGCGCGCTGCGGATCTGACAGGACCTGCCTGTATATGTCTAATATAAAGACCATTTCCTGCGGCGCGAGGGGCGCTGCTCGTCCCCGCGCGCCCCCGGCGGGGCGGCCGCGCTCCCTGCGCCGGGCTCTGCGGAGCGGCGCGGAGAGCGGGGTCTGCCCGGCCGCCAGGTCCCCTACCCCCGTCCCTCACAGCGGGCCAGCCCGGCGGCCCTGGGAGAGCGGGCGGCTTGTCAGTAATTTATTTATCGTTTTTCCCCGGGAAAGGAGAAAAGTGGGTTATCGATTATATAAACACATCAATATGCATGCGCCGCCGCGCCGCGCAGAGGGACGCGGCTCGGCCAGGAAAAGCAACGGAACAGGGGGAGGGGGCGCGGGGAGGCGCGTCCCGGCGCGGCGGGCAGGGGCGCGCTCCCTCCGCACCCGCGAAGCGCGCAGCGGGACGTGCCGGCACTGCTGATCCGCCGGGCGCTGACGGCGCCGCCAGCGCGGGGACGAGAAGGGTCCGCGGGGTGGCGGGTTGGGCGGCTACGCGCCTCGCGGAGGGGCCACGGCCTCTCACCTGAGCCCCGCCCGACACCCCGTGCAGCGCCGCGCTTCGGGGAGAGCCGCAGGCTCTGCGCACCCTGCGGAGCCTCCGCGGCCCCGCGCTAACTCGGGCAGCTTGGGGCCCCGCCGCGGAGCCGCAGCCGCATACAGCCCTGGCGAGTTGGGGGGGGTGCTCCTCTTGCTCCATTGTGGGCAAGCATTCGCGCCGGCGGATCCCGGCACCGCACCTGCGCAAGGCTCTCCCGCAGCACAGGGCACGGAAAGTTTCCATAGGGGCCCCATGAGCTGCCGCCCCGCAGGTAGACGCCGGTGCGTCCGGCGGCGATGCGCAGACCTCCGCGCCCGCGGAGCCCCCACCCACCCCCGGGCACTGACGGCAGGGTCACTTTGGGGGCTTCAGTCCTTTTCCTCGGGTGTTGCCTCGCTCCGCGTCCGCGCAGCCCACCGCGGCTCCGCGGGGAGGGAGGGTGGGAGGGAAGCCGGTACGAAGCGGCTACTTGGGGACCTGCCCTCCCCCGTTCCCCAATACTGACACTTTCTCCCCCTTTTTTGGCTCATTCCCCCCAGGACCCCCGCGCGGACGCTGCTCCCAGGGACGGGGGGGACGGGACGACAGGCACCCTCTGGTAGCTGCCGCAGCGGGCCGGGTCCGGCCCTGCCGCCGCGAAACGGCGAGAACGGGAATAAATAAACACAGACGCAAATAAATAAATAAATACCAATCCTTAATAATGACGACAGCGGTGACGTCAGCGCTGCGTGCATCACGACACAGAGCGGCGCGGGGGGCAGCAACAAGTGCGGGCGGCGGCGCCGCTGCCGGGGCGACCCCTGGCGCCCGCCCGTCGTACCTCTGGGCCGCCGCCGCCCCGGCTATAGCGCGGGTAGCGCTGCTGCGTGCGCCCGCCCCTTTCAGCCCCGTTGCGCGGCAGTTTTGGTTGCATTTAGCAAAGAAACGCGCTTTCCGTATCACAGAACCGGATTCATGTGTTGCGTGTGTGGGCAAAATGGTTTTGGTGAAGCGGAGCATAAAGTTCCAGCAGACGGGGCTGCCTTGGCGCTCTGGACATCTCGCTGGGTGTGTGGGGCCACCCCACTGTGAGCCGGGCTGGGTGGGTTTTGGTGAGGGGAGCAACCCTTGTGTGAGGTGTAGGTGAAGATTCTGTTGGCCCCGGGCAGACAGCACGGTGAAGGCATGGGAATTTGGGCAGCACTTGCCATGGCACTGTGAGTGCAAGGGACTTCACTCCAACATCTTTGGTGCTTGTATCTGGTTGGGCACCTGCTTCTGGGCTCCCATCGGATGCTGAGTGCTTCTTCAGGGAGAGTCTGCTTTTCTTATAGTTCCTCTGGAGGAAATGCCAAATCCTTCTGGTTCGTAAGAAGTGTCATGTTTCCTGCCCTACGGCCTTCTAAGATGCCCTGGGCATCTGTCCAGTCTGTGGCCCCACAGCCTTTGAGCTCACACTGTGTCAAGGTGGAAGACTGGCATCTTCAGTGCCAGGGAAGGGGAATTTGCCTCCAGTGTCTGGCTAGCCAGAGATGAAGATGATGGAGCTCAGGCTGTGGGAAAGCTGATGTGCTGTCCCAGGGCTTCAGAAACCAGGAGCAGGAGTGCCAGAGCAGGTGGGTGAGAGCACTGGGGGGTATGCTGGCACACTGGATGGAGCAGATTGGAAACCAGCAGAGGTACCAGTGCTTGGGCTTTCACCTGCCACCAGCAGCTTGTGTGTGTCCTGGATGGGCAAAACCAGCAGAACAGCTCAGGAGAGTTGTGTGTAGCCAGCTCTTTTGACCACTAAACCCTGACACTTGGTGCTTGGGAGCTCAGTCTCCCCAGGGGAGGATGCTTTGCGGAGGCTGGGTAGGTATGGGAGGTGATGCAAGTGAGACCCACACCTTGACACATCCCTGCGGAATGGGGGGCGCTGCTCCATTTCACCCCGAGTGAGCTCCTGGCATGAATAACTTGCATTTCTTCAGAAATTCACCTTTGTTTTCACTGGCCTTGGCATGTTTAATCAGGGCTATATTCTCACAGAGATAAAACCGTCCTCAAAGGATTGTTGCAGTGTATTGGGCACAAACAGGTTTTTATTTGTTTATTCATTTTCTTTATCTCAGGCAGGTAGGGCTGCTCCTTTCCCACAATATATAACCAAGTAGCAAAGAGAACTTCTCATCTCCATTTGTGCCTAAATCCCTCTGCTTCTGCCCCAGCATCTGGGGCCCAAGCATCACTGGCAGCTTCAGTGGTGGCTGTGAGCTCCTGTCCACTGCACAGAGCATCACTTGTGGCTCTAAGGGTCGCAGAGCCCCATCCTTCCCTCCAACCACAATCTCACTCCACAGGAGGCAAGCATCCCTCTAAACCGTGGCCTTGTAACTGTTATCAAGAAGGTGGTGAGGCTGGATAACCATGCAAAGGCACATTTTGGTCCTCTGAACATGGATTGCTTATCTGTGCAGCATGCTGGGAAGCAGGGCTTATGCATGATGACCCAAGCCACCACCCCATGAACTGAGCTTCTTCAGGGCTCCGTCTCACCTCCAGATTCCAGGGAGCTCAACTCCAAAGTTGAGCTTATGTCTGTAAAGTTTACATCTAAAGCCAGAAATCAGACGGTGGGACAATCTGATGCTCACTTGAAGACCCAGATATAAAAAGTCCCCTGATTAGGTAGGTTTCATCTCACTGAACTTCAATTATCTGAAGGTTTGGTGTCCAGAGTGAGCTAGTGGCCCAACTTCATGCTTTAGACAGCAGCAAAAGGCAATTCCTGAGGGCCAGTAGTAGACTCACAGAGGACATGTAGTCTCCTGCGGATACAGATTTGCTTCACTCAAAGAGGATGAGTTGTGCATGTCCATCTATCCATCATCCTGCAGGTCCCTTCCCTGCTGCCCCAACTCAGTTTCTGTAGAGCAGGGGAAGGGGCCCAGTGTGGGCAAAAGAAGGGGTTCACCCTCCATCCCCACAGCTCCAGCCCCCTGCCCATAGTGCCTCTTTGGCCAGTGCTGCCAGCTGGTAGGACTTCCAGCATCCCGATTGAGTTTCTAATGTTGGTAGCATTTTAAATGGGATAGCAGCAGAATCTGGAGCTGTGCTGAGGAGTACATAATCCTGGCAGCAAGGGTATGTGTACTCATCATTGCTCTTAACATCAATTGTATAGGAGCCTTCTCCTCCCCACAACCTCCTTATATTTCAAAATGGTAAATAAAAAGATACCCAGCCTGTTTATAGCAGAAATTGAAATTCCACATATAATCAAACGCTGGATTTTGTCCTGCAGGCACTGGATAAGTTTCTTCATATGAATATTTTGTAACTTTCTCTGGCCAAAAGAAATGTGCAAAATGTTGTAGTTTCTGTGCTTTTCTTTGGACATTCCAGGCTTTTGCTTAAGCTTCTCATAAAAGGCTATTTTCAGCGGAGGGAGAAAAAAAAAAAGCAGCCTAGAGTATGCCGAGTCAATAAAGTGATGCAAAACCATAAAGCACAGCAATGATAACAACAGAAGATCCGTAGATTACGAAGGGAATAAGATAGGGATCAGACTGAACAGTAGCTGGAATTGAGTACATAGAAGCCAAATAAGGCTGGTCCTAACAAACAGCCAGACTAAAACACATCTAAAGCATTAATTTATTAAGAAATTTTATTTTCATGCCTTACAATTAAAAATAGTTGTGGTCAGGCATGTTGGGAGGCAGGAAGCAATTGGAGTCTTCAAGCCTGGTCTTATGCTTGGGAGGAAATCCAGCCTGACCCACTCTGCAAGGAGGGCTGTGCTGGCATGGGGCTGGCAAGCCAGCATTGCTGTGGGGTGCTTTAGGTCGCTTGGTGATTTTCTATTTGAAGCTTTTCTCTTCCAGGCTTTTAAGACATGGAGGAGTTCTGGGGTGAGTGCTGAGGGTGGGAGCTGGAGCTGTGGTGGAGTGGTGAGGACGATGCCAGCTTCTGCTCCTGCTCCCGCATGGGGTGGGAAGCAAAGCCTTTTGACAGTGCCCGGAGGCTCAGTGTTCATTCAGCAGGTTTTAGGATTGGTCTCTGGCTTAGGGAGCCCTTCAGCTCAGACATTAGAATCACCAGCTTGAAGCATTGAAAATACCAGGAGTCAGAGCATTTATCTTCCCTCCAAGAAGTCCACCAGCCCCAATGAGTGACCTAACAGCA